GGTTTATCCTACCGTGCAGATGCTGTAGTTTGCAAGAGTTGTGAATGTTGCTTTGGTGCCCCTCTACATCTTCAGGTAAAGTTCATAACAGCAAGTTACTGTTTGGGAAGGAGGCCTGAATCACAATGTCCAGACTCCTCTCAAAGCTGCAGAGATGTAGTTCTGAACAACATAAAAAGCAGAGTGGCCAATTCATGCTGCTGTTCTCGTCTGGGCATCCAGCATTACCAAGTCTGGCAGCGTACTCCAAAGCATTGTTCCTTAGTAGAAAAAAAGACAAGCATCACTGGAAGGGGAAGTCAGTGTCCTGACAGAGTCCTCAAAGAGCTCCTTTCATTCCACTTTTGTCTTGTCCAAGTTTGCTTAAACTGCGAAGTTTTCTTAATCAAGTGATCCTTCAAGAGCCCTTGCAGGGCATTAGATGTGCTTTAATGAGATCTATGGACTGGATGCTGAAAGGGGGGATCTAAGCCACCAAAACCAGCACAAAATTCATCGCAAAGGGTGTCCTTTGCGTCCACGTCCCCCTGGAGAATATTCCTTTCCTAAGGAGCAACAATCTATTTACTATTTATTTGGCCTTCCACAACCTTAGTCTTTTCCCAGGGCTCCAAAGTCATCCTCATCTCAGGATTAATTAATTGTCAAAACTTACAGCTCTTCTCATAGTCCCCATTCCCACTGCAGCTCCTCACCAACTCACACACTTCTGTTGTCTTTCTACAGCACCCCACAGACCCTCATTACTTCTGGGATCTCTGCTGACAGTGAGCCACTTCTTTCATAGCACCACCAGCCCTACTTCATCCCTCCCACACATGCTGAAATTCTTCAGAAGAGGAAAACTGTTCCCCTCAAAGGGACTCAAACCAATTCATAAATACCAGCTGGGCCTCCCAGCATCTCCATGTTAGAGTAAGACCATTAGTCTCATGCTACTAGTGAAGAAACCAGAAAACCTCTGTAATTAAGCATCTTGAAGGCCAACCAAAAACTGCAAACAGGGATCAAAATCCAGTCTTCCACCTCCTATTCATCCTCACACTCCTACATCCTAACCACCAAGGAGAAGTGCTGTACTACCAATTCATTCTGACACTAGGTACAAAAAAGCAAGATAAATGAGAGGATTAAATTATTCACTATCAGAACACATTCCATTTGGCAACCGGCTAACAGCCAGAATGAACAAACCTCAGTAATCCAGAGAATGAAATGTATTAGATTACAGTGGCAACATAATTAAGAATAATTCAAGTTATTTAAATGCTTTTAGATTGTCTTTTATTACTCCACAACAGTCCATCACACCAGCTGATACAAGCGTACTGAGAAATGGCCACAATCTAAAATTCTAATAAAAATCCTTCAATTTATTGTTCCCTTTCAGTTTAATAGATTATGATCAAGGAAGCATCTAGCTTTTCATTTTTAGCTTTGAAAACAAATTGCTATTCCTTAGAAATTAAATTCTTTCCAACTGAAGCATAGGAAGTATTATTTCTTTCAGGCAGTCACGTTATACCTTTTCATTAATGTTGCAGTAACAGTCACAATAGAACCAGTATCCAACAGACAAATAGACAGCACTTACATTACATTGTCTGACCCAGAAGTAATGAAGTGAAGGTACTAGAAAGGAATATTCTTGTGAGAAGATAATCTGGCTTTGGCCATAACCTTTGCAGAGATGCTGTATCTGTTTTGGTATTGTAGTTATCTTGCAGCAGCAATTATCTTAGTACTACTTCAGGAATTTTTCTTTTGTTGAGAACACCTCCATATGCCAGCACAAAGATGTCTCTCACATTACCACTTGAAGTATTTCCTTACGCTCCTGGCAGTTTCGCGTATTCCATTTCAGAACAGCCTTGCACTCCCAGAACCCCTTTTGAACCAGCATCTCAGGCCACTTACTATTGATCCTCACAAGGGCCCTATTAAATGGGTATTACCCCCTTTGTGCAGAAAACTAAGGCACTGATTTTCAGGTGTTAACTAAGGGTCCCACCAAAATCAGTGGTGCTGTGCTTTCAATCTGTCATTATCCCCCCTGTACATGAATAAAAATGCCTTCCTTCAGATGCCTGAAGCAAACAATTTTGGTTTCATCTTTTTAAATAACCGGTAGTGACCATTCCACCACTGAAACTGTTTGAGGGCCTAAAGACCCAGCATACGCTAAAGACAAGGTCTTATCATCCACAAGAACTTGCTAGAGTATTGTATGCAATTATGACTTACTCCATTCTTTTTCACTGAAAAACCATGAGAGGAATATTAACTAAATTGCATGGCAATCACTTTAGAATACATTATTTGAGAATTGTGGGTAATGATATAATTTGCCCAGCCTCTTGAAAGATCCCAGCTGTTTAATAAACATGAAAAACTTACCTCCCAACTAGCATGACAAGACCTCTTTGCCCAGTTTTCCTTTATCCTCCGACATTTGGACTTCCTGTAGTCCATTAAGCTACCAGTGTAAACATAAGAACTGTTACAAATCAAGCCAGGCCAAACAGCTAAGTGAACTCCAAATAATTTGATCCAAATTGTTTATATCCCTGTACTTCATGCCACTTCCGAATCATCACCCCTAGCAGTAGCTTTCTTAGTGAACAGGTAGTCCCAGCAAACAGGAATCAACAGGTACGTTCTCTAAGCAGCAGAGAAGCAGTACCGACAAGCAACAAGTCCTGTCATAAGGAGAGTATTTGCAAGACCATGCAAGAAGAGTTCTAAAAAATTAGTTTTTAAAAAAGCAGGTATTTCTGCATTGCTGTATACACAAATATGTATCAGAATGTGCCAGTCCACCTAACAGTTTGCTAGACTAATGGAAGTTAAATGTTTGAAGCTCTTGAGGAACTAAGTCACTCAAGATCTTTGAGAGTTTCTTGATTTTTATCTAATCAAGGAACACCTCTCAGAAAAGACCGTTTTATTATCAGTTTTTGATTGCAGTCACCATCTTACATAAACACCATTCAGCACTGCTAGAGGAAATATTTCAGAAATATGAGGAGCAAGCTCAGGTGAACAGCAGAAAGATGTTAGAAATGGAGAAATTTAGGTGATCAATGTGCCTCTTTTTTTTTAATAGCCTGTTGCTAAATACTAGAGAAAATTTCAATTTATGCTCAATTAAGGAGCATTTCCAAAGCTGTCACATCAATTCAAAGGTACGAAAGCCTATGTTTTTCATTTTTGTACAGGGGAATTTTAGTAAGCTAATCAAAATTAATGTTAAATGGTCTCATGTTACTAACGGAATGTTATGTTGTAAGAATCCTGCACATGAGTTCATGACAGATGAAGTACCACCCTACTAATTCAGGAAATTAAGACATTGTTTTTGAAAGCATGCTGTTCAGTACCTGTCACTTGACTTATATTGCTTCAGGAAAGAAAAAATAGTAGGCAAGATAGAACAGGGAGTTTTGAGCTTCACAGTCTTAAGTTGGGCTGAAAAAAAGCTGTATTTAAGGAGACCTCACCCTTTCTTCAGAAACTAAGGCAAGTCCAAACATCTTTTTTGGCCAAACAAGATAAAGACAGCTTTCTCCTGGGAAAAGTCTTGGCATGACATCAAGTTGAAAGAATTTTATACAGTTATCAGCAGTCTAGCCAGGTTGAAAGCCAGAGAGTCTAAAGCCAAGGAGCAACATATTCCATGTCTAAACTATGAAAGGTGTTGAAATATATTACCACCACCACCCACTTTTATTTTTTCCCCAAAAGAAGTTTTTTCCAGGCCTTTGTGGGTTTGGATATGAAAACAACTGGTTCACAAAAGGGAATTCCAACCTTGCAATATACCACAGAAGTCTACAAGATACATACCAGATTAAGAAATAATCTGCTTAGCAGCAGAATTTCCTAGAATTAGAACAATGGCATACAGTAGATTACATTCTTCAGCCACATAGTCAAAAGCAACTGCAAAAAAAGATGCTATTTTTCTTCTATCTCCATTAGATGCAATTAATGTAATATCAAATGTGTTAAAATCGTGACAGAAGTCAAATAGATCATTGTCCATCAGCTAAATACAGACCCATCATTTTGCCACAAAGTTAAAGAATTTCCAGATCCAGCAGGCACAGGCCTAGCATGTAATAATTGCTTCTTGAATTAACTACTACAAAAACTACCACCAAAAAGTGAGTTCTGCTAACAAGTTAATACCTAAAAGAGCATTAACTTACTGCAAACACTGCAAAATATTGGAACATTCCTAAGACATCAGAGAATGCTTTGGGGCTGCTGAGTAGACAGGTATGTAATCTTTCATGAACATCCATGGATTTCACCGCAACCTCTGACCTTCCCTGTGAGAAAACTCAAGAACAGCAGCCTTGTGGAAAAGACCCATGAAAAACATCATTGTCACAAGCTCCCTTCAGTACTTCAAGCCTCTTCCCCTTTCAAGCAGGAACACCACAATGGTAAGGCAGAGCTTGGAATCTACACCACCATAGCTAAATACACCCAAAAACAGAACTCATTTTTTTATTTTTGCTTTACATTCCCAAGCATGTCCCATTTGATACCATGGTAAACTGAACGGTTAACGAAATTATTTGCTTTTTTAAGCTTAACGTTTACATCCAAAAGCATTCAAATACAGAGTTTTAAATAAACTACTGTAACAACAATATTGATGCTTCTATTAAAGACTGACAAAAGAGTTCAACCCAAAGGCATTAGTAAGTAGTCCACTATTTTGCAGTTTGCCTAATCAAACACTTTTGGCTTAGCAGAACATACACACACACAAAAAAAAAAAAATCAAAAGAAAACTGACTTCTATTTCCAGTTCAGCTACTGACTGAGAGGTCTCAAGGAACCTTTCATTTTCCAAGTCTTCTGACTGTTAAAGGGGATTATGCTTACTTACCGCATAGAAAGCTGAGAATTGAGAAGCATAAAGTGCTGCAGAGAAAGAAATACAAGTGCTGAGTACTATTACTCCACAGAAAAATAAAGAAAACTGGTTATTTTAAACAAGAAGTTTATTTAAACAACAAGACGCTTTACTTGAAGGGAAAACTATCTAGGATTTTTTTTTTTTTTTTAAGAGTAATTTACCCCTACTTAGACAGAGATTGCTCTACATGTAACAGCTACGTACAAAAAAGTTATAAAATTGTCCTTGGTTTTACAATGATAAAAGAAAAACATTGAAATTATCCAATCAAACAAGGTATGCAAGGTTTTTGTTTTTAAACAGTGAGAGCAAAATAACTTACTGGAATATAAAGATAAAAGTAGAAGGAGCATGCCACTAACAGAGAAAGGGGCATTTTCACAGAACCAGTTTGTTTTCCCACCCCATCTCCATTAAATGTTGATCAAAACATACCATTGGCCATTTAGTTAAAAAAAATATGCATTATGTCTGTGCACATACACCAGTTACTTTATGTACAATAGAAGGAATAGGAAAAAAAATCAGAGAGAGAAGAGAGAAAACTATACTGCAGTAGTCAGGATGTGGCTGAACCAAGTCTCATTTTTCCAATTGCGAATGTGTCGTCTGTGGGAGCACAGTTCTGGAGAGGAAAGTAGCAGGTTCTTTTTTTGTGTGTTTGGTTTGGTTTTTTTAGTAAACTCCTCCTGTTTGCTGCTGGAACACATCAATTGTATCTTCATCCTCCATTTCCAACTATAGCAGAAAAGAGAAAAAAGGCTTTCAACTCTACTCGGATATCTACTATAGGCTGGGTTGTTCCTACATTTCCTATCTTCATGTTTACTTTTTATGCAACTTAACCAGACCAGCCTCGCTCCCCTCCATCATCATCACTTTGTACATTTAACCTACTTCACCGTCACTCGAAAGGAAAGAAATTACATGGGGGAAAAAAAAAAGCAGCCAGTTGATAGCTGTTGTCCTAGAATGAATTCTAGAATGTAACTTCAGGATGCATTGTATGACCCCTATGGAAAAGACTGGCATTCATAATGTTTTAATTCTGTTGCCTACTTTGCCATTGCATCTTCTTTCTCCTATTTACTTCCTCAGTTTACCTGAGAACATTGCCACAATTCCACTTTGCTGCTGTTGTTCAAATGTGCAAATGGCTTCAGCTACAGCACTAAAGAAAGCAGATTGTAATTAAGGCCTCTAGCCCAACCAGGCAGTAAAACTGAGCACGAGCAAGCAGAAAAAATTAAAAACACTTTACATGGTCGACAGTGTAACAAACAGCCAGTGAGGAACAGCGCTACTTCATTAATATAATTCTCTTTTTTCACCGTAATTTTTACAGTTGATATTCCTGGGATGTTAATGTTACCTACTGACAAAATCTGTACTAAGATTGAAGGAGTCGCTATAACTAATGGAAGTTATATTTCTAAACAGTCAATTTCTGCTCCAGGAAATCAAACTGGTCTATGGCATTTACCACAGCTATAAATAGACTGATCCTTAGCTTCAGCACAATATGGATGGAGAGAAAAGCACCCTGTTGCCTCAATTATCAGTATTTCAAGTTAAAAAGTTGCATAGATTGTGGCCATATGAGGCATATTCTTTGGAGCAACTGCTTAGAAAATACAGATCTACTATAAACCTTCTAAAAACAAGAGTCCCTTATTTTGTAACAAGTGGTTCTGAAAAGCATATAAAACTGTACCACTTGGAAAGGCTGATTAAACACAGCTACGCGGAGCAGCACAGAAAAATACTCAAGAGTCACAGTGAACCATTCTGTTCTTGGCATGGCCTTCATTTTAACCAATTACAAACAGACAACCCAAACTTCACAGTATCCATTAATTTTATGCCACTGAAACAGAGCTTCAAGTAACAGAAAATTACTTTTGTATTACAAATGCAAGTTTGCAAACGGGACCTCTGATAACATTCTTTTATAAAAAAATAAATCCACGGCTTCAGGAAAAACTCAATTCTTAACTTACCGATAAGATTAATTCTTATCTTGGAGCTGTGACTCAATAAAGTGACAGTTTTACAAGACTCACCATCTGTACACTGTACTTTATTTTCCTATTTTATTACTACAGTGATACAGACTGAAGTCTTAGATTCCATTTCCAATAATTCTAAACTAGTTATGCCAAAATGATGGTAAAAAAAGATCAAGTTGTATCACTAATATATACAATTACACAAGTATTTCGTATGAAACAGAAGCATCAACTCCTGCAGCAAATTTCAAATACAGTTCTTTAGTCTTGCTTCTGTTGTTTACCTGTGCAGGTGTGTCTGTTTCATTAATTGGCTGCCCATCGAACCGGAATCTGATTTGCCTCATTGACAACCCCTGGACAAAGAGAAGTAACACAAAGGGAAGTAAGTCTGGTATAAAAGTACTCACTAGTTTTCTCTTGAACTTGTCACTGGAATTGCAGCATGATCATTAAAAGCCACCATTCATAATGCACAATGTAGTTTTGGTACTCCCCTCATACACTGACTTTAAGGCATTTCACTACAAATCCCTGCGATCTGTTTTGTATTAAAAATTGTATTGTGTCCAATAACTAAGAGAAGCAACAGTGCCCCCACTGACTGCAAGTTAAAATAAAGCAATTTCTAGTACACAAGTCTCACCCCAAAGGCCAAGATTTTTATAGTGCTTTTTAATAATAATTCACTTAAAAATTAGATGCAACACTTTGGATAACAAATGTCAAACAGTAATACTCAATACTCCTTTTTGATCTTCTCCAAAAGCAAAGGTATTCTCAAATATTTTTTCCAGAAATGCAACCACCATCTACTCTTGCAGCAGCAAAGAGTAGCCAATGGCAACTTTTTGACCTTGAATTCCTATTAAAAAGAAATCAATGGAACAAAGTTTTTCCATGCACAGCTGCAACTTTCAAAAGAACTAAAGGAATCTTCTACTTCCAGAAACTACTGAATAGTACTTTGAACTAGCATTTCTACCACACAATAGTCATTTTGCTGACCTCTTCCATCCCCAGAAGACTACTTCTCATTCTCGCTTGAGCCAACTGATTAAAAAAGGTAACTGAAGAGCAACAATCCCTTCTACTAATAACGTAAGCTTCAAATTCACAAGTTAGTTTTCAAAGGTATTCTACAGCACGCTACATTCTGCAAAGGAAGATGAATGAAGTTTGATGATACAACCAGAACCAAGAACCTTGGTGTCTACTTCTTTCACAGTTCTATCTACTCTCTCTACAGAGTATCTAAAAATACAAGAAGTCTAGTTGGTTTTGAAATAAATCCAATGTATTGTATGGTGCTGCTTTGGCGTCTCTGAATTAGAAAAGCAGCCTTCATTTAGCCATGCAAGAGCAGATGTAACACACAAAAGAAAACTTCATGTAATAATTATTTTTGAGAAGTTGATTTGTCAGGAAAAATATTTTAATAAAGAATATGAGTAAACTTTTTGGTAAGACTTTATAGTTCACAGCAAAATGCCTTCTCTAGCGTGACTAAGATTCTGCAGTGTTCGCTCAGAACATCATCTTGTTTAAGAAAACCATGTGGCTAAGTGTCATGGCAGCAACACATTTTTGCACAGCAACATTTGGTTTGAGCCATTTTCTCCAACATTGTTTTTCTTAAAATATGTATTTCCTATTCCAAAAGTGCTGGTTTTTGCAGGTTGCTGGCAACTTTATGAGCTGAATAAATGCTAGTTGAAAACACAGCAAATTTTTGCTTTTTGCAGGCTGCTGGCAACTTTATGAGCTGAATAAATGCTAGTTGAAAAAAAAACTGTACCTTGGTGAGATTAGTATCCACAAAAAATTAAGTATGTTCCATGGATGATTTTTCCCCACTTAAAACACAGCGAAAAACTGTACCTTGGTGAGATTAGTATCCACAAAAAATTAAGTATGTTCCATGGATGATTTTTTTCCCCACTTACAATAATCGCAAATAGTCTTGATCTTCTAAACATATCATTCAAGGTTTCATTACTTCCCTTTTTAGGTCTACCACATGCAATACATGATTTTCATTCTTTAAAGTTGCTAAATTCTCTACTATATGCAGCTTCCACCTCTCCAAAATTAAATCTAAAGTCCACAGCTTAAGGATTTTAAGATTGGGTATGCCTAGTTAGGAACACAAACAAAATCTAACTTTTAGAGACATGCAGAACAAATGCTTTTAAACAAAGTTTGAGAAGTAAGCACCTAAGAAATAAAATTTAAAGACAAGTCCATCTCCACAGAAATATCCTTTGGATACCTACCAGCTTAAAACAGAAATCAGAAAAAATGTCTCCCATTCTAAAGATTTTTTTTTTTTTTTTTACGCCTCCAATTGACATCTGGGGTTTTTTGCTGTTTGTTTTTTTTTAAAGCAGAGTAGAAATTTAGGTGCAAAGTTTTAGAATCTTACTTTTGTTTGTTTCCAAGTAACTGAAGTATGAATGGTACTTCTAAAATCATCTTTACCATGACTTTACAGACAATTAACCAATCCTCAAACTCCCCAAAAGACAGATATAACTGCACTTTGTTTGGAAAAAGCAATACATAGTGATTTGCATAATATAACATGAGTTTGTATGACAGAGGTAGGAAAAGTGAGCTCACAGCTTCAAACATCCACTAATTTATCCCAGAACACCCATACAAGAACACATTCACATGTCCAGTAAGAGCTGATTTTCCCTGTCTTTACTCGTATCACTATCCTATTGTGGCAAAGGGTAAACCAAAGAGGTTTTACCACTCTGTATGTGAATTAGAGTTTGTTTTTCTTGGTGGTGGAATAGTTACCTCAATATTTTATACTGATTTTATTGTATTTGATGGTATCACTGAATATTTGTGTTTAAAAAAAACCTTCCCCAATTCCAAACACTTTTGTAGAGATGGAACTTTTTAAAGGCAGACAGTCATTAAAAAATCATGGACAGCAGAGACATTTTCCTAATCAAAAGCTTCAGAAGAAAGTGTTAAATAGCACCACTCTTACACAGATGTTTTTAAAAATTGCAATAGCTGCCTGCAACCTAGTAGGTTGGCTGCAGTTGCCACTACACTAGTAAAATACATTTTTTTTTTGTCCCTCAAAGGATTAATTTGACGACTAGGCCACAAGAGAAAAAATAAAGCTCGTCATTAAATGTACAAGCTCCCTCTCAAGCTAGACAATTAAGACACCTTTAAACCCTGAAATACTCATTGATATTCTCTCATCTCAATACAATAATACTGAACTAAGAAATCAGAAGTCTATGACCAGACCAAGAAGTTACTCAGTTATAAAAATACCTCTTACTATCACTCAACTCTCTATCCTAAGTTCATACTGCAGGTTCCTAACCCACCCTTTCCATACTGCTATTTTTGAGCAGCAGAGTAACAGTTGCCTCCCAACAGCCTACACCTATAATGCAGATTTCACAAAGATAACAACACATTTTTATTTTACCCATTTCCTGTCACAACCCTCTCAGTCCACTCTGTAACAGATCCTAAGAACAACACACTTTCCACAACAGAATTTGTTTCTGTTAAGTCTTTATCATTTTGCATAGTTACAGTTTCAAGACTTTACTGTCTTCATCTATCTCTACGGACATCACCTCTCCCCCAGACACCGGTTCTCCTGATGATCATACAAGAACCATACCTGTCGTTCACAATAGGCTTTCATTAGTTTACTAAGTGGTGTATGCCTCTTAATCTTAAACTGCACCACAGACCCATCTTGCCCTGCCACCTTCAGATTAATGTGGTCATTGTTTTCAGTCTTCACTCCTTCCTGTTGAGGAAATAAAAGAAAAAAAAACCCAACACTTTTTTAAAAGGTATGAAACAAGAAGTTAACATTTTACCAAAGTGCAACAGGTCATTAAAAAGGAGGAAATAAAGACATTATAGCTGTTTACCAACTTGAAACTTTGAATTAGGAAATAAAAGTCAGTACTTTTTATTTGAAAATAAAAGCCACACACACACCAAAAAAAACCCCAAACCCTACTAATATTAGTTGTCATTCTTGAGATTGGTTAACATGCAAAGTAGCAATGAAGTTACTAGGCCAGTTGTTTTACAACAAATTTAAAAAAAACCCAAAAGTTATTTCCATCAAGGGCACAATAATATGCAACACTACTGCTCCCAATCAAAGGAATAAAGTGATAACGATGATCTCAACCACCAGCAAGTCTCTTTCTTACTATATCTCGAACTTTTTCGTATCAGTTGAGGTACTTCTGAAGAAAACTTCAAGATACTTTAAAGGACTGTGTTTGAAAAGGTGACAAAATCTGAAAAGAACCGAGCTTTCTCCTTCAGAAAACGTTTAAGAAAAAACCGTCCTTAATAAGCAGTCCAATCCTCTTGCTCCCATTAGAAGCCACACGCAGGAATTGCAGAGAACCAACTTTCAACTCCGTCGCTCGTATTCCGATCCAGAGTATCACGGGAGAGGCAAAGAGAAGATTCAACGTTACCCAGATCCCAGGCAGCACCCGCTCCTGAGGTGCCCAGCAGCATTTTCATCTTTGTTTTCTTTAGGAGAAGCGGCGAGGGTGCCGGAGGGCCCCGGCCGGGGTGCGGGTCCCTGCCATGTGACAGATCCCCGCACGCCGCGCTCCAGGCCACGGCCCCGACACACCGGCCCGCCGCCGT